TCAGGATTTGTCTCATTTCTCAAGATTGTGAATGTAGCTATCACTTTGTAGTCAAAAGTCAGGATTTGTCTCATTTCTCAAGATTGTGAATGTAGCTATCACTGTGTGGTCAGAAGTCAGGATTTGTCTCATTTCTCAAAATTTTGAATGTAGCTATCACTGTGTGGTCAAAAGTCAGGATTTGTCTCATTTCTCAAGATTTTGAATGTAGCTATCACTGTATGGTCAGAAGTCAGGATGTGTCTCATTTCTCAAGATTTTGAATGTAGCTATTACTGTGTGGTCAGAAGTCAGGATTTGTCTCATTTCTCAAGAAAAATCCTGACTTCTGACCACACAGTGATAGTTACATTCAAAAAGTCTCATTTCTCAAGATTTTGAATGTAGCTATCACTGTGTGGTCAGAAGTCAGGATTTGTCTCATTTCTCAAGATTTTGAATGTAGCTATTACTGTGTGGTCAGAAGTCAGGATTTGTCTCATTTCTCAAGATTTTGAACGTAACTGTCACTCCTGTAGTCAGAAGTCAGGATGTCACATTTTCTAGGAATTCTTTATCAGTTTTAGAACATCGAGGTAAGGAATCTTTTAACTGTGCCTGATTGGCTTACAAAACTCACGTTCTTTTTTCGCCGTCGGATATTTAATTTATTTTTCAAAGTTGCTCTTGGGCTCTCATTGTACAAATACTATACAATACCTCAAGGTTTGATATATCCAAACTCAACATAAAAGTATATTGTGATTATTACTGAGAAGCTATATGGGGGAAAAATTATTTTATTCCGCAGAGATGACTCACTAAATTTTCTTGGACATTTTTCAACCATTATCTACATCACGTCACTTATTCCAGAAGGACTTCCCCTTTAACGTAGTGTGTATATTACGTCAACTATGAGGTCACTGCGGTACTCTGACTGAATTAAAGTTTGTAACGCTGTCGTTTTTGAATGATTTCAAATTGTTGTTGTTGTTACTATTCCAATTCTTTGTACGTAAGTGAAATTATCTTGTAAGTGGTTTAATTCCTATTTGAAGATAAGATTTGGTTCTCTTGTAAAAGATAATATCTTTGATTATGGGAGAATTATATACACGCCTAGCATACACAGTTCAGCATATCTCGGACAACTCCAGTTCACCACCCCTTTTTTTCTCTCTCTGTCTTTTCTGGCTGCTACCAGCGCCCTCACTTGTCTGCGTAATCAGATAGACTAGAAGTCAATGGAAACAATTAATCAGTTACCTGGAACGTGGCCGGTAGGCGGCGGGTCGAGCGAACGACCACGCATACTGTACTGAGCGCTGGCTGGTTGACGTTCGTAGCATCAGCAAATGGCAGTGGCTGGCGCACTGTGTGTGGGCGAAAATGAAATAAAATTCACAATAATCATCCTAGAAGTCGTACGGGCCGTTCTCCAAAACAAGCCATTGCAGCCATCCTAGACGAGGCGGGGCAGCAGAAACTCCGATAATTCCACGAGCTTTCCACAAACCAGAAAGAAGGGTTTCCTTGTCCAAGTAGTCAGCGATAAGCAGCAGTTGCTGAGATCCAGAGAAAGCACTCTTCAGGTGGGCATAGTCTTCTTCCACCTGGTACCCACGTCACGCACGCGCAAGCATAGCAACAAGAAGCACCTGCTGAGAGTGGTGGCAGTGATGTCTCAGTAAAGAGCTAGCACCAGTGACAGCCGGAGCCTCACAGCCGTACTTGTCGGCGCGTGTCCCGGACCCCGGCGCTGAGAAATGTTGAGGGTGCCGCTATGGACAGTTCTGCTGCTGGCGTTGAGTGGAGCCTGCCGGCCCACCTGCTCACAGCAGCCTGCTGGTGACATTCATCGGACTCGCACCCCCTTAGCCCTGCTCTCTGAGACCCCCAGACGACGGAGTCTCGGTGACGTACACCTGATTCAGGGCCGACGGAGGATCGCTAGGTCCTTCCACCCGGAAGTTAACGGGTTACTGTCCCGGCAGGAAAGGCCGTGGTGGGCTGGGGTACTTCCCCCTCGCCAGCCGCGGAACAACAATGATCCTTCCCCACAAAAAGAAGATGCGTCAATTTCAACTGCGGTTCGTCAGCCCCGAGGCACGCGGAAGTATGATGTACCCCAAATCGGTAAGTTTTTCTCTTTTTTTTAATGTTCGCCATTTTTGTTTTTACTCCGAATTTTTTAAAACTTTCAAGACATTATCGATTTATCATTTATATGAAACAAATATTGAGGTGATTTGTAGCAAAATTTTTTAACTTGTAAAGCATTTGGGGGTATTTAATGTTTACTCTAACGAATATCTGGAAACACGCCATTGAAAACAGTTTAATACATAAAATGTTTCATCATTGCAAGTCACTATTGGCCTTCTTAATATTTGTTTCTCGATTTCTCTCTGCCAAGGAAACTTCACAAGATGTTCTAATAGTTTGTCTTTTTTGTAAGTTGGCTTAAAATATACAAAATTTTCCCTAGCGTTTGCGTTCAATGTTTGAGTGTAATCTTATATTTATTTTTTTAATTTTCATCCAGCCACTTTCAATGTTTTACGAAGAAAAATTATAATTAATATTTATAAATAAGTAAAATGACGGTGAACTTCAGAAAATCGTTCTTCACCGTTGCGTTTTTTACGCATTCATCGGGGGTAATTTGAGTAATAAAGTTCGTTACAGACATTCTATGTTTCTGATGAAGACGTAAAAGCCGAAACGGTGAAGAAATAAAAGAAGTTTAATTTTCTGAAGTTCACGGTTGTTATATTTATTTCTAATTATATATATATATATATTATGCTCCAGTCAGAATTATTTAAAATACAAAATGTAAAAAGAAAATTCATATTAGTAAAACCCCAATCAGATAAATTGACGGGGTGAACAGGTAGATTGAAAAAAGTAAATATTAACATATGTTTCGCACTTATTAAAACACAGCAATATTGTTCAGAGTTTTAATCTGCTCTATATGGATAAAATGGAGCAAAATATTTCGAAGTTGTTGTTATTTTCTTACATAATACAAACATATATAATAAACAAATTATTCAAATTTCTGGCTTGCCTCATTTTTTATCCAAAACGAAAAGAGTGGATACGAAGTCAATGAATTGTATTTCAAATTTCAGAGAGTTTATTACATGATGTTAACGAAAAGACCTAAATCTTCCAGAGCAACTCGAATTCGGACTTATTTGTATTACGATAAAAGTGTCTGTATGTAGAAAACGTGAAACACTTGAAAAAGGCTATATTGAAAAATTAACTGTACACTAAAGTTTGTTTGTTAATCGATCAGTTAGTCCACTTATTTCATCGGCTCGCGCAATAAGGGTTTTTCGTTGTACCCGGAAATCCCTTCCCGCGTGAACTCAGTTTTTGTCAACTTCTTCTTTTTAACAAACCTATTTTGATCCACTGAATAAAACATTGCTATCAATTGAATATATCTTAGACCATCTCTCGGGAACTTCCCTCTTTTGGAAACCCCCATTTTACTGTATTTTGTTACATCTTCTCATGCGTAAAAATATTCTGTCAAGCTTTCCAAAGAGTTCCAGCTGATAATGCGCGGCAATTCGAGTCATCAATACCCTGTGTGTGATCTCTCTCCAACTCCGTTACATGACACTTACTCGTTGTTCCGTGTAAAAACATGTGACTCATTATTAGTGTCTACGTGACGCAAGTGTCTCTATCGACAGCTCATGAAACCTTTTGATCCGTCTCCAACTCCGTTACATGGCACTTACTCGTTGTTCCGTGTAAAAACATGTGACTCATTATTAGTGTCTGTGTGACGCAAGTATCTCTATCGACAGCTCATGAAACCTTTAAATCTATATAGCGCAGTCTATGTACCCCAACAATGACTATGACCCTCGTTACTAGGTCACAGATGGGGCTTTCTCGTTTCAGCGATAACCACGTAGTCTTACAACACGAAGCTCTCTTTTCGCGTCACCCATGCGGAAAGCGCAGCCCGTCGAATCTGAGGGCGGAGTATGGCGGCGTCTCACTATAGCGTCCATTGACGAGAGGCTGTTAGCAGCCGAAGCATGTTATCTTGTATCTTTGTGCCCCCTCGTGCGACCAGGCTCTCGCTGGCATCCTCCCAGCTTTCATTTCATTTATTGAGATGAGCAGATGAGAGGAAAGACCGTCTCATTCATAGGGGAGCCTCTTCATGAAACGTGCTTAAGCATCCCAATGACTAAAATGAGTTCTAACCCTTAATTTTACCAGTTCCGAAGTATAAAACTTTTTGTTCGCTTACCTCTGTTTTAGTAAATAACTTTGAAAATAAAAATAAATCAATACTAAGTCAAGTGAAATTTTCTGATAAACTTAATCACGGCTCTATAAATTTCAACGTAAGACATACATGAATATTAAAGAGAAAATGGAATATAAAAGTTGATGTTTTTTTTACTTGGTTTCTTAATGTTTCGAGCTAAGTGTGGGTGCAGATTGTTAGTGGACTTTCTCGTGTTTCATCGCTTCGCACTATATTAGTGTGTTTTTATATTTACTAACCTATAAAATATAAATATCTAACCCTCACCGTTAAAGGACCATCTCTTTGTTTCTAATATATCGATTTTTTTCCTTGTGTACCGGCGATCTTTCTATTATCTTCTTGTATTTTACTGTTTAAGACAAACTTATATATATAACAGCGTAGTGTACAGAAAAACAAATTCTCAAGACGAGCTTCTTCTCTATGAAATGTTTACTGCTTAAAACAAACCTATATAACAGCGTAGTGAACAGGAAAACAAATTCTCAAGACGAGATTCTTCTTTATGAAATATATACTGCTTAAAACAAACTTACATAACAGCGTAGTGTACAGGAAAACCAATTCTCAAAACGAGCTTCTTCTTTGTTAAATGTTTACTGCTTAAAACAAACTTATATAACAGCGCAGTGTACAGGAAAACAAATTCTCAAGACGAATTTCTTCTTTATGAAATGTTTACTGCTTAAAACAAACTTATATAACAGCGTAGTGTACAGGAAAACAAATTCTCAAAACGAGCTTCTTCTTTATGAAATGTTTACCACTTAAAACAAACTTACATAAAGGCGTAGTGTACAAGAAAACAAATTCTCAAGACGAGCTTCTTTTTTATGAAATGTTTACTGCTTAAAACAAACTTATATAACAGCGTAGTGTACAGGAAAACAAATTCTCAAGACGAGCTTCTTCTTTGTGAAATGTTTACTGTTTAAAACAAACTTATATAAATAACATCATTTTGTACAGGAAAACAAATTCTCAAGACGAGCTTCTTCTTTATGAGATGTTTACTGCTTAAAAAAACTTATGTAACAGCGTAGTGTATAGGAAAACAAATTCTCAAGACGAGCTTCTTCTTTGTGAAATGTTTACTGGTTAAAACAAACTTATATAACAGCGTAGTATACAAGAAAACAAATTCTCAAGACGAGCTTCTTCTTTATGAGAATGTTTACTGCTTAAAAAAACTTATGTAACAGCGTAGTGTATAGGAAAACAAATTATCAAGACGAGCTTCTTCTTTGTGAAATGTTTACTGCTTAAAACAAACTTATATAACATCGTAGTGTACAAGAAAACAAATTCTCAAGACGAGCTTCTTCTTTATAAATTGTTTACTGTTTAAAACAAACTTCCATAACAGCGTAGTGTACAAGAAAACAAATTAGCAAGACGAGCTTCTTCTTTATGAAATGCTTACTGCTTAAAAATCTTATGTAACAGCGTAGTGTATAGGAAAACAAATTCTCAAGACGAGTTTCTTCTTTAAAACTTGTTTACTGCTTAAAACAAACTTACATAACAGTGTAGTGAACAAGAAAACAAATTATCAAGACGAGCTTCTTCTTTATGAAATGTTTACTGCTTAAAACAAACTTACATAAGAGAGTAGTGTACAAGAAAACAAATTCTCAAGACGAGCTTCTTCGTTGTGAAATGTTTACTGCTTAAACAAACTTACATAACAGCGTAGTGTACAGGAAAACAAATTCTCAAGACGAGCTTCTTCTTTGTGAAACGTTTACTGCTTAAACCAAACTTAAATAATAGCGTAGTGTATAGAAAATCAAATTCTCAAGACGAATTCCTTCTTTATGAAATTTTTACTGCTTAAAACAAACTTATATAACTGCGTAGTGTACAGGAAAACAAATTCTCAAGACGAGCTTTTATTTTTATGAAATGTTTACTGCTTAAAACAAACTTACATAACAGCGTAGTATACAAGAAAACAAATTCTCAAGACGAACTTCTTCTTTTTGAAATGTTTACTGCTTAAAACGAACTTATATAACAGCGTAGTGTGCAGGAAACAAATTCTCAAGACGAACTTTTTCTTTATGAAATGTTTACTGCTTAAAGCAAAATTATATAACAGCGTAGTGTACAGGAAACAAATTCTCAAGACGAGCTTCTTTTTTGTGAAATGTTTACTGCTTAAGACAAACTTATATAACAGCGTAGTGTACAGGAAAACAAATTCTCAAGACGAGCTTCTTCTTTATGAAATGTTTACTGCTTAAAACAAACTTCCATAACAGCGTAGTGTACAAGAAAATAAATTCCCAAGACGAGCTTCTTCTTTATAAATTGTTTACTGCTTAAAGCAAACTTACATAACAGCGTAGTGTACAAGAAAACAAATTATCAAGATGAGATTCTTCTTTATGAAATGTTTACTGCTTAAAACAAACTTACATAAGAGAGTAGTGTACAAGAAAACAAATTCTCAAGACGAGCTTCTTCGTTGTGAAATGTTTACTGCTTAAAACGAACTTATATAACAGCGTAGTGTACAGGAAAACAAATTCTCAAGACGAGCTTCTTCTTTGTGAAATTTTTACTGCTTAAAACAAACTTACATAACAGCGTAGTATACAAGAAAACAAATTCTCAAGACGAACTTCTTCTTTTTGAAATGTTTACTGCTTAAAACGAACTTATATAACAGCGTAGTGTACAGGAAAACAAATTTTCAAGACGAGCTTCTTCTTTGTGAAATTTTTACTGCTTAAAACAAACTTATATAACAGCGTAGTGCACAAGAAAACAAATTACTAAGACGAGCTTCTTCTTTGTGAAATGTTTACTGCTTAAGACA